GTCACTCGAGAGCATCATATTATCATTGATCTCGCGTGGCGGCAAAACAGGCAACGGCCGGCGATACGATCCCTTTATCGAGCTTTCGTGAAATCACGGATCATTCTTTCTTTCGCGCGGCTATTTAACGACTGCGTGACGTGACGGCCGCGTTGTTGCGTCGCGTGCGCACGAATCGAACGAGTCGTCGTGGAGGAGTCGGTGGAGTCTGGTGGAGTCGCGTCGTCGCCGGTGATCAGCGGATATCAATCTGTGTATACCAATCTACCACGATCGACGGCCCCGTCGAGCGCGTTGACGCTGTGCACGGATACTGCCGACGCATGATTCTCTTGGACGAGAACAGTCGTGGCGCGGTGACACGCACGTCGAACGCGCGAAAATGTCCCGATGAGATAACCACGGCGGTCCCAGGGCGCGCGGTGATCCTCCCTCAGGTGAGTAATCGTGCAATAAACATATTTACCATCTTCCTCCGGTTGAAGAAATGTTGGAATGCCTAGCTTCTATCTAACTTCTAGGTTATCTGCAGACACCATCTGACTGCTGATACAAGGTCCCTGGTTCCAAGACCCGTATTCATAGTCTGGCCTTATATTTAAGGTTTCCTTAAATTTATCTTTAAATGCTCCACGAATGATTTCATTGGCTATTGAGCATCTAAAGATAAATTTAAGGAAGCCTTAAGTACAAGGTCTGACTATGAATACGAGCATAACTGTCTCCTTTGTCCTTTTATAACCTCAACGTCCTCTTTATTTTCTTGAGAAATTTGTAAATATTTAAGACTGTCAACTAATTGTTTTCTTTAATGACCGCGTGTTTGTGCGAAGATTAAGTCTGCATCCTTATATGTAATTCCTTATATATGATCGGATCATCTATTCGGCTTTGCGACACGGCGTTTCTTTTCATTCGCTCGACTCGTTATTCTTGGCATTGTCGAGAAATCGTGCTACGACGTCGATGCGATTTGTGATTAGAAAAGTAATCGCTATGTCACAAGGTCACCCACTTGCTGGATAAATCACTTCCCATTTCTAACGGTACAGGTGTCGACTCATCTGTTATGCAGGATAGATGCGAATCGACGACACAACCATGTCCTTAAGAAACGTCATCGAGTGGACGTCCTCCGACGTGAGAGCTTGGCTCAGAGAAAATGGTCACGAGGAATACGCGGATTTGTTTTACTTCCATGAGATCGACGGAAAGGTACTTTTGACGCTGAAAGAAGAAGACTTGAAATCTAGTATTTTAAACATAAAGAAGATTGGTGCTATAAAGAAATTGTATCTGGCCATAAAGCAACTGCAGAGGGACAATGTCGCCGTTCTATTCGACTTGGGATATGTGGATTTGTTTCCCTCGACAAATTTTTATACTCATCATCAGAATAAGCACGAGGTAAAGGGATGATTCTCCGAAGGGAAGTGTCTAATGTTTATTTTAATTGAAGAAAGTAATACTGCTACGTTTAATATAATTTTACTTTAGATGCCCAGTACTGGTACCAATAATGAAACGTCTATCGAGAACGAATTCTATTCAGCTTCGGTATCAGAGGACGGACACGCTTCTCATTTGCCACCCGAAATCTGGAAGACACTCATCAGTTTAGGATATTTATTTATTGTCACGTGGATTACTGCCTTTGTAATGGTTATCGTTCATGACAGAGTGCCTGATATGAAGAAGTATCCTCCATTGCCAGACATATTTTTAGACAATGTACCTCATATTCCTTGGGCGTTTGATATGTGCGAAGTTACCGGTACACTGCTTTTCGCGATATGGCTTGTTGTGCTTATATTTCACAAGTATAGGTAAGGAACGTGGCCCATTTAAATAAATATAGCAAGTAATGTGATTTGTCACAGGGCGAATAATCTATTAAATATGACACAGATTTATTTTGTTACGAAGG